GAGAGAGAGAGAGAAAGAGGTTTGTGTGGTTGTGAGTGGATTCAATGTTCCACTCCTGTGGGGATTTGAAATGGCTGCAGAACCTTTTCTATGGAAAGTTAGGCCCTCTTCTTCTTTCGTGCTTTCACCTCAGACTTTCTCAATCGCAGGGAGAGGCGGTGGGTCAAGTTGGGTGCATCTTAAGGTTCCCTTTTCCACAGTGTCAGAGGCATAAATTAGCCTACATTTGGGCCAGAAAACCTTTCCCTGCATGCAGCTTTGTCCACTCTGTACTTGTGGAGTCATCTGCCACAATTAGATTAACCCTCAACTGTGTTCAGCTCCAAACACATGAGGAACTCCCTTCCTCCAGAAGCACCCAGGTAAAAGTTCCCTTAATCTAGCTGCTAGCTTCATGGGGAAAGCCATGACTGATGTCCACCTGGCCAGATGCAACCTACTCTGTGGGAGTGGAGGGGATCACCTCCACCTCATGGCAGACAAGATTCCATGGCTGCCAAGTGGGAGAACAGCTCCCACTCGACACCACGAAGTGGACTACAAGATCCCATTGTTTGTTTCAGCACTCTGCAACCCTGTTGCTGGGCTTGATATTATCTCACCAAGTTTTTTAGCTCAAACCCCAAATGCCATCCACCACAAATAACATACATAATAATGCAGCAGCAGCAGCAGCAGAAACAACCAAACAAATGACATCAACTGCCAAGATGCTGATCAAAAGGCTTCAGTGCACAACATGTGGTCAGCAGTATCTTATTCTTGGGAAGATCCAAGCAAAGTTGGAGAAGAAACGAGCAAATCTCCATTGTGTTTCCATGTTGGTCCAAGATCATCTAGAAACTAGATTACCAACAACTAATTCCTCAATGCCTCCTGTGCTTTTCTAAAGGTTGGGACCCCTCCCTCTCCCTCTTTTTTAATCTCTTTTCATCTTGGTGCTCTTCCTCTCACTCACTGCCTACCCTCAAGTCAGCATGGGCATCCCTTTTTGAGCTGCTATCTACCTTTCTACTGGGCCAGTGGTTTTGGTGAAAAGGATGAGAATAACAGCTTTCGAAAGCTATTCTTTTTGTTATTACATTATTAATATAAACCAAGAAATAATTATCAAATCGTTTATGGATCAAAGATGCTACCATGTTTATTATGATTCAGATATTTTTCTTAATCCAAAATCTATTTTATAGCGAGGTGACCAACTTTTGACTTGTGAGGAATGGTAATTTTGGTTGGGCAGACAGACAGGCAAACAATAAGAACATGGAAATAAAAGGTAATGCTCCATGGATCTCCTGACAGATACGGTGTTGGGATCCAAATCATTACCGTGCCCGGCCAAACCCCACCCCTATCTTTGTGAGCAAGTGGAGTGAGAGGTGAATGAATACACATCCACCACCACATGGCAGACAAGTCGTCACTGAGACAACATTGCCAGGCCACCATCCGGTCCACAAGTCGGGTTGGTGGGTACTGCTGTCTCGTTACATAGAAGCACATTTATTGCTGGGCTGGTGGTTGGGAGTCATGAGGACTTTGGATTCAGCTCCGCTGGACTCTGTAATAGCCCAATCCACAAGACTGAGCCCATCCCAAGACCGTGGTTCCGAACAACCGGTTTCCGATTCGAACCATCAATTTATTATTATTTTTTAATTTAACATAATTTAAAATATAAAAATTTATAATTTTATTTTTAAATTTTTTTAAAAAATAGATGTATAATTATAATGAGTGTAATGACACAAACAGTTAATTAAAAAAATTACAAACTTTTTAATCAAACTAAAAATATCAAACTAAACTAATCGATTTGAAGTCGGAGCCATCAGTTTAGAATCGAAATCGATCCACATACGATAGGTTTCGATTTAGTTTGGAATTAACGAACCATCGAGTAGTGCAGTTTCGATGCGAGATAATGGATTAGAACTTACGATTAGTGAAAATTTTTTATCTAATCTCATCGTCGTCACCATTAGGTTCCCCCTTCTCTTCTCTTTTCGTCTTGCTTTCTCTAAATTATTTTTTTTCCTTCTCCGGTGGACAAAAGTAATTCATCTCAATAGAACATAATAAATTCTTCTTTTCCATCCGTTCTAAATATGAGAAAAGAAAAAAGAAATCAAATTTATTACAATCAATTAACTTATCTTAGAAAAATATTTTCAAACCCTTTTCCACCATTCTCCACCTGGCTCTTATTAGCTTCTATCCAAAATCGAATCGCAATTGAACCCTGATGAGCTATATGATCAATTGTTGATGCCTCAATGGCCCAAATGACCGATCATTTGATGCATGGAAGGGCAAATGATCACTTTGTTCCTCTGAACAACCATACAAACCATACAAACTTGCAACGTGATTAGTTGAAATAGAGTATAAACAATCCCAATCTAGATCATGTAGACTAAGAACTAAGTTATGATTTGGTGATGATTTAGTGATGACTCATTTGACTTCAGCCTGCTTTCTTGAAAGGGGCTATTGGAGTTAGCATTGAACTGGGAAAACAATCAATCATTTGCTATTGATTATATTTTTTATAATTAATTATTTTTTAATATTTAAATTATTTATATTTTTAAAAAATTATATTAAGATCTCTATAATTATGAAAGTAAAATATTTAACTTCATTTTTTCAACTATATTAAGATCTCTATAATTATTTTTGATTTATCATTAAAAACGTACGATATTTTTATGGATAGACGTGAAGATAAATAAAATTAAATATTTTATTTTTATAAATATTAAAATTTAATATAATATTTAAAAATATAGAAAACGAAATACTAAAAATAATTAATTATAAGGATAATATATAATTAGAACTACGAAACAGATATATAATTAGCCCTAGGAGACCGAGAGATCGACTCGCATGGAAGCTCGAGAGGCCCCGTGTTGGGAATGCCCGAATACCGTGGCGGCCTCATCCAGAAGCACTCGGAAGAGCCGGACCACCGAGATGCACCCGACCGGTGGCATTCGCCGCCTTCTCTTCCTTGTGGTGGTGGTGGCTGCTCCCCAGGGACCGGCACCGCTCCAAGGTCCTCGGTATTAGGCTCACTGGCCACCTCTCCTTGCCATTCTCGGCCCTTCCCGTATGGAGCAACGAAACTAAACAAAGGAAAAGGGAGCAAGAACAAGAGCCTCGTACCAGAGAAACCCATCGCGAAGAGAACAGCAACATCTGAGCGGCCGGTGGAGGCGAGAATCTTTGGCCGAGAAACCCTGCCTTCTTCGCCGATTTGTTGATCGGGGAAGAGGCCGAAGACGAGAGAGACCTGACCGGACGACGGACTAGATCTAAACCCAATCTGCCTTTCTTGCATGTCCTTCGCAGGCTAAGGCGGTTCGGCCCAACCAAAGCGCGATCACCGAGATGTGGTCAGTGCGCACAAAGCAACCTATTTTGGTGCCGCGCTGCTGACTTGGTCAGCGCGGGATCCACCAAGAATGCTGAGATGGCATATTCTTAATGGCCTATGGCTGAGGTCGTACACATTGCGTACATACGCCCCGCGTCCCCTTACCGTCTCTCTCTTCACAGCAGATCTTCGCAAAGGGTAAGGGGGCAGAACACTCCCAATCATCGAGACCATGGCGGAAGACGATGTAACCGGAGCGGCGGCGGAGGCGGAGTTGAAGAAGGGGTTCGAGACCCTTGAGGTGGTGCAGCCGGACCCCTCGGTCCCCGTCCACTACATCTACCTCAACCGCCCGGCCCAGCGCAACGCCCTTACGCCGGCCTTCTTCACCGACCTCCCCCGCGCCCTGGCCCTCCTCGACCGCCTCCCCTCCGCCCGCGCTATCGTCCTCGCCGCCCGCGGCCCCCACTTCTGCGCCGGCATCGACCTCTCCACGCTCGCCGCCACCAGCTCCCCCCGAAGCGCCGACCGCGCCGCGGCCAGCGAACTCCTCCGGCGCCGGATCATCGCCCTACAGGCCACGATCTCCGCCGTCGAGCGGTGCCGGAAACCGGTCGTGGCTGCGATCCACGGCGCCTGCATCGGCGGCGGGGTGGACCTGGTCGCCGCCTGCGACATCCGGTGCTGCGACGAGGGCGCCTTCTTCGCGGTCAAGGAGGTGGACCTAGCCCTGGCCGCCGACCTGGGTTCTCTCCAGCGGTTGCCGTCGATCGTCGGGTACGGAAACGCCGCCGACATGGCGCTCACGGGGCGCGGGGTGCCGGCGGCGGAAGCGAAGGCGATGGGCCTCGTCACACGGGTCTTCCCCTCGCGCGCCGCCATGGAGGAAGGCGTAGCGGCCATCGCCAGGGGTAATCTCGTCATTCTTGCTCCCAACCTTGATTGTTCTTATCCACCCCGCGGGACTAAGGGAATAGGAATCGATAGGATTGGCGGAGAAATCGACGGTGGCGATGATGGGGACGAAGGCGGTGATGCTGAGGAGCAGGGATCTGACGGTGGATCAGGGGCTGGAGTACGTGGCGACGTGGAACTCGGCCATGCTCATGTCACGTGACCTGGAGGAGGCCCTCCGCGCCCAACTCGAGAAGCGCAAGCCCAACTTCTCCAGACTGTGAGGGAGGGAGGAGATGCAACTCCTGCACGCAACGCTTTACACAGCTTCCAATAACCAAATGTCGTGTTAATGGTCTTATCGTCCAATTACAATCGCACGTACATTAGCATGTTTCGCTTTGGACATCGAGGAAGGATCGAAGCAAATGAGTGTGTGTGTGTAGAATCTGAACTCTGGGAAAGCACCAAAAGCTCGTGATGATGGCCTTCGCTTTTTATCGAATCTTACAGCTCACAAGAATGGCCCCCCTTCCTTCAAAAGCAGCATAGCAAGTCACAGTGACTGTGTAGGTGATGTACATGAGATGATGTTGCCAAATTCCTTTGGCACCTTAGCATACATATGGCATATAAATTTCGGAGATTATATCGATACAAACGAGTGACAAATACGCTATATTTAGTGGGAGGCCTTTCGTTGCTAATATACTTTCCTTCAGATGGGGAATATTAAGGTCTGTTCTGCACAAGTCTGGCTAAGAAATGGTTGATAGCCACGATGAATTGGGTATTGATGGCGTCTTTTCCCTTCTTGGAAGGGAGGAGGAAAAGAAAAAGGAGTGAGCTTGGAAAAAAGCATAGAGAGAGTTTAGAGTCCGGTTCACGCCACCTCGGTCGTCGCCTTCTGCCCACAGGCCACACAGCCTTTGCTATAAAGAACTGTTCCTTTCCCCCTCCCTCATGCAACCCACGCCCTCCTCCTCCCCTCCATGCTCTTTAACTCCTCTTTTCCTCCCTCCTTTTCTTGGCGAATTGTGCAAAGGAAATGGGGCATGAGGCTCTTCGGCTCAGCTACTGCGGGTAGGAGTTCTGATACTTGAGGTGGAGGTGGAGGTGGAGGTGGAGGCGGAGGTAGAGGCTTGCTGTACATGGAGAGGCCCAGTTTCATCAAGCATGGAGTACTGAGACTGCCTCCCGGGTTTAGGTTCCACCCCACCGATGAGGAGCTGGTGGTTCAGTACCTCAAAAGGAAGGTGCTCTGCTGCCCATTGCCGGCTGCAGTGATTCCTGAGATCAATCTGAGCAAGTACGACCCCTGGGATTTGCCAGGTACGTGCGAGTTCCGAGTCCTAAGAAAGCTGCTGCATTTCGGTACGAAGCAGACAGTCTTGTTTGCTGCATGTATGCTCATCCTGTCGAGCTCTATCAGGTGAAGGCGACGGAGAACGGTACTTCTTCAGTCTTCGAGAGGCTACGTACCCAAAAGGAAGCCGCAGCAACGGAGCAACCCTCTCCGGCTACTGGAAGGCCACCGGGAAGGATAGGCCGGTCGTAGCTTCGGGGAGCAACGAGCTGGTGGGGATGAAGAAGGTGCTTGTGTTCCACCGGGGGAAACCTCCGCATGGCTCTCGAACCGAGTGGATCATGCATGAGTACCACTGCCTTGCTGCCTGCGAGACCAGAGGCTTCAGCTTCGCACAGAGAAAGAAGTTTGTGCATGTGAGTTCGCTGTCTTGCTTTCCCCATCGTTTGCAGGGAAACAAAACGATCGTTTCTCTCTCTGTTATGCTTCGAATTTTTTATTCTGTGGATCAGTCTACATAGTGTGCATTTGTTCGTGCAGAGTTGCATGAGACAGACCAAAAATGACTGGGTGGTCTGCCGCATCTTGAAGAAGCGAGCCAAGATGTTGGAAGCAGGGAACACCAGCCGCAGCTACAATGACGGCCGAGTTCGGATCGACCATGTCGAATTCCTGGATGTGCAGCGTTCGTCATCCTCCTCCTCCTCTTCTTCTTCATCAAGCTGTGTGACTGATCTCTCGTCGGAGGAAGGCGAAGAAGGCAGCAGCAATGGCGTTAATGCTTCGCCTCCATGCGGAAGTCTGCCTTAGTGTCGTCTTCGTTCTCTCGATGTACTACAATAACTTTGCTCGAGTAACTCGGCTGTGAACTCTGCGCCATGTCGCTTGTAATTTCTGTTCTCGTTAATCAAGAAAGATTAATCCACTCGCCGTCTCTCTGCTCGCCAAACACGCACAGAGAACGCAAAGGCAAGTGGCTATAGAATCTGGAAAGAGATAAGGCATGTGTGTTCGTGAGGTTGGCGGAAGGAGACGATGCCATCGGGACCAGACGAAGAAGAAGAAGAAGAAGAACAACGACCGCGGGGAAGATAAGCAGGGCAGTGGCGTCGGAGGGTGGGGGCCCTGACAAGCACCCGTGTTGGCCAACAAGATCTGCGCAAGATCTCGCTTTGACTGCGAGCACATCGAGCTCCGACTCGGAGCACCAGATGCGAGTGGTTTTCTGTCCTCGGGACCTTCCATCCGTCCACTCACTCTTCGATCGAGCAGGAAGAAAGGGGAAAGCAACGGGGCCTGCAGCCCCCACACGGGCCTTTGTCAACGTTCACCTGCCGATCATGCCTTATCTGAAGCAGCAGCGACTGGGGGGGGGGGGGCGGGGTTGCCCAAGGGGAATATGATCGAACACATCTCGGGCGTCGGCTGACGGAGAAAGGCTTGGCGTTTTTACCTTAAAGACTCCACTCGCCATGAATCACATGGTGGACGTGAGTTGCAGAGAATAATTTGCTTGGGACGTTGACAGCCATTGGAGAGAGTGGAGCTAATCATTGGAGCGTCCATAAGTTTGCCACCATCATTAGTTTAATGAGGATGAATCTAGACACGATTTAAGTCACGACTAAGGACACGATCCAAGTCTACTTTGGTTTGTTGCACCATTTCAACCCGACGCAATCAACATTCTTGAGAGATTAGGTCCGATGTCATGATCTGATCTGATGTTTAAGATGACACAAGACCTAATCGAGGAAGTTGAACGAAGAAGAACGTTGAACCTCCTTATAAATAGTGTTAGTGTCGAATTTGATGATCGAGTTATACAGATAATCAAACTATCATGTCGAAGAATCAAACTTCTAAGACGAAAACTCATTCTAATTGATTTTCCCAAGATAAATGATTTACGAGTGACATTACATTTTTTATAATTATATAAACGACATATCAAACGGAAACTCATTGACACTCAAGTTAATAATAATCATAAATTTGAAGTTTCATAAGGTATTCTTAGGATCAAATATTCATATACGATGGTGATTAGAAAAATATCATCTAAATCAAAAATATTTTAAAATATATTCTCAAGCTGGATAGTGAATTTCTATTAATCAAAAGTATTAGGGATATCACTTGCATCAAGCTACACATGTCATCATACACAAAGTTTCAGGGAAGATTTCATCTAGTCAACCTAAATAATTGAGATATTATGGTTTCTTGTGATTGTATATGAAGATTTATACTTGTTCTTGACTAACCCATCCTTAATTTCTGCATACCTATCATGCTATTGCACTTTTGAAATAAGCTGAGTGTGACATTGGACCTAACCAGGGGAGAGGTTCTCAAGAATTGTTGGTCATCTCAAAGTTTATTGAGATTATCTCCCATGAAGTTAGCTTTATGTTGCAATCATTAAGACATGATCACCTAAGTATATATATATATATATATATATATAT